CAACCTTCAGGACCATATGATGTTTTCGTATGCCATTTAATTTCGCTATAGCTCGTTCGGCATCCTTGAAAACGAAATTAATTGAAAGCTCGCAAATGCAAAATACAGAAGAATTATTCAAGTTGAGTGAGTCTGAAGAATACCTCTCGCATTTCGTACGTAACAAAAGCGAATCCTTTGGGTTGATTAGTAATCTTATCTCTGGCGATAAACACACGCTAAACGAATCGTGATTAATAAAATCGAGTGTTTAGAAAATGAAATAGATTAGGATGACATGTTCAGAAAAACCATACCACCACTCTTCCAATGGCAGCGAACAGTTCTCGAAGTTCAGCTTCTTCCATTTCTTGAGGAAGGTTCGTCACTCTACAGGTATTCTCATCGGACCTTAAATAGCCGTAAAATAACCAGTGTATCAAAAACCATCGATTTACCCTAATTTTAGTAATTAAGCAACAGGAAATCAATGGAACGAAGGCGATGAAACTGCACCATGTCAAGCGGAAATTCACACCACCAAGTCTCATTGGTCTGAACCACGTGAAAGATAAAAGAGAAGGCTGTTTTGAAGAAGAATTCAGTGAGAGTTACAGCGACGAGTGGACATTTTGTTCACAGCAATTTCGCTTACTTACTTCACTAGCTCCGGTTTACAAGTATCGCTCTGGTGAAACCTGAACTCCCGTGGAACCCTCATAGTAACTGGTATTGTATGGCATTTCGCTGGTCAGAGTCGACAGGTACTTTTTATAAAAACTGACACGTGGTCTCTACAGGCTGGTGTCATTTAGCGGCCTCACAAGGTTCCACAAGTCTCCACTTGATGGCTCGACACGTCGATTTAAAGTAGAAAAAGAACAAAATGCTCCTCTCCTACTTCCATCACTGAAATGCGCCGTTTTCCAACATGAAACCCAACATTTCACGGTAGCACGCTGCAAAGGGGAGGGGTGAGGGGGGGGGGGGGTGAAAGAAGTAGTAGTAACAAATGGATGATCAGGCGATGAAACTTGTCCAAACCTATCTCCGCATCTCTCTAAATTGATTACTGACCAAACCGAACCCCGACCCTTCACACCCACAGGTACCCGCAGTTCCTCGTACAGGTATGCGTTCAAATAACTTTCCGACTCCCAATAAAAGTGAAACGCATGGCGTATCCCAAATTGAATGGCTGTGAGCGACAATGCGTTATTTAGAAAGAACACATAATAAAACTCACCGTCTATCTACTTGTCGGGCATCTCCACGCATTCCCGGAGCGATATACCGACCGCCAGCAGCAGCTGCTGCGCGCTCCTTCTCGGCAGTTTCGGCGGCATCAATCTCTTCATCGACTTGGTACATCTCCTGATAAAGAGCTTCATCAATAAAAAAAATTATGAATACAGTCAAACCGCAGCAATGCCACTTTGAAGCTAAAATGAATCCACTAAAATCCCAGAACCAGAAAAAGCAAACCTTATATGGACAGTTTGTACTCCAGTGATCATTTCCTTTGCAATGACGACAGTGTTCTCTGCTCGTGACTTTAGCCTAAGAAAATAGGTAAGAATTACTTCATCTGCCACCAAATCCTCCAAGGAAAGGAAAAAGAACCAAGGAGAAGTACAATTCTAGAATCGAGGTTAAAAAGGAACTCACCGCTTGCTTATCTTCCTGGACGTCCAGAATCTGTTCGCCAGCGCGGTTTCTAGTGAACTGCATCTCCACCTCTTCCGCAACGTATGTTGTGGAAACCTAAAAAAACGATTATGTCTGACAAAAGCGGCCTTTTGAAAGTCTTGCCTAAACAGGTGTTATGACAACTCCTATCTCACTGTATCCATCCATTAAGATTGAGCGTGTTACAAAATTTGTATTGAAAGGTTCAGAGCTACAGATCTGGTGGAAATCAATGACAATCTAACCTGGGGCCAGCAGGTTCGTCCGGCAAAAAGTCCGCAATTTCGCCATTTTCTTACGGTTCAGTTACCGAACTTTTGCACATTCTTCGGTAGACTTTGACATGAGTGACACGCCTAAAGACATGAATTTCAACCATAACAAAGAATGAGATACAATCTAACAAACAAAGAACTCCGGCCTAAGACATACCTTATACCGCGATCCATCCTCCTCAATGTAGGCGACGACCGTTTTCACGCCATCCTCGTTCACATCATTGCTCGGCAGATCTAAAAAGCATTACAGGTAGAGTTAATGGCGCGGAGATACAAGGCCTTTTCATAGCACCTTCTCTCTAAGTAAACTGTTATCACAACCACAGATCTTGGCCTAATAGTGACAAGGGAGGACATTCAGAAGACTCCTTGTACAAGACTAAAAATCTTGCAACGAAGATGAATTTCTCCCTCAGCCTAAGGGGAGGCTCCGAGAAAGCACGCGTGTTTCCAATTCTTGACTGACGTTATTCCCTTTCCTGTACGAAGGATTCTTGAACAACTCCTATCAGACGACACATCCCGCCAGGTTTCTGAAGGACTTCACGATGCAAAGAATAAGAAAGAGCGAAAATTGCAAAGGAACATCTCTACCAAAACGAACATTGCTCAATGTGAACTTAGATTTACTGGCCTTACAACACCTATTGCTAGTAACCCACGCAGGTCAAAGGCTCCACAGAGACATGAAAAAAAAAGTGCCAGCCCGTCGAACCATGGTATATGACTCCTCCTTTCTGTCATTGACTCTTTCTCGGTAGTTAGTCTAAAAAGAATCGCTCATGGGTCAATGATTCAAAGGCCTCTAATGTCTTGCGCACCTCGGTCTTGGTCTTCTGCGCTAGCGCTAAGGTGATCGCCAACGTCCCCAGTATCCAAGCAACCGAAGTCTGGCTTCAGTAGCCCAATTCCATTTCCCGCAGTTTTCAGATAAACTAGCGCCTTAACATCAGGGAAAGTACCTCATTAAAAACAATCAGCAGTGTAATGACCTAACGATAACAACGAACACACCAATTGAGAAATGAAACATACTGTCTTGTTCCACTGCCTCCGCCCAGCTACCAACTTCTGGAGCAGAACTCAGTCTAAAAAACATGAAAACTTTCAATAGAAGGAACCCTCTGGAAGCATTACTGAAAAAAAATTATGATCTCAATACCACACCAATTTGGATACAAAAAAAACATGTTGAAAAAATATTCTCCAGAATTGTGATGTTCTTTCGTAAGCTCTTTCCAAAAATTGACGGTATGGACTTTCTAAGAAAAAATTGTGGAAAGCTTTAAAGGTGGTTGCAAGAAGAAAGGAGTATAATGAGCTTACATATTAGTACTGCTTGCAGCCATGACCGTCATGCGAGTCGTCTGAAAGCTTCAAGATTACCAACAAAAAAAACTCGAGATAACTCGACGCGCGCAACAAAAATCTAATAATAACTCAGGCCAACTTCTTAGAATTAGCAGCATTTCCTAGAAGTTTCAGAACATAAAATATCTTAGAAAAGAGCAGCTCTCTCGATGGACTAGAAACTGTCATTGTAAGCTCGCAGCTGAAAATTTTAAGATGAGGCTGACAAACCACTCCTCCAAACACGGGCTGTGACGTGGGTATGTTGAGCGTTTATGACGCGTCGCGGCATCGCGCCAGCGTGAAAATACTGGTCGCCACGTCGCGTGCGATCAAAGCAGCGCGGTTGTAACAGTTTTCGATATTTTCAGTTGTAGGAATCGAGCTCACTCAATAGCGGCGGACGTGCCTTGTAAATTTTTTGTTTTCACAGCTGATACCTGTTTTTGTTGCGGAGAAATTCTCCTCGCTGCTCGAACTTGCGAACTATTGGTGACCTCACTGCAATTTCGCGCTTAACTATGCCGCCGATACAGCTCTAATTCTCTTAGAGCGCCTCCTTCCTGGTGGAAGGAACGTTTAATTTGGGTTATGTATGGCACTCATTAGGCGAACATTTCGGGTTTCATTGACATGGCGATATACACCGTGTTACGTAAAAGAAACTAGCGAAAGTGCAAAATGCTCTGCTAAGCCAAATGGCGCCCATCTAACCTGATAATATGGACCTCATGTGATTACTCTTTTCATATCGAAAGCCCTCTCCAAAGACTGTAAGCTGATTGAAGTTTGCCGTAACTCACGTATAATTGATTTAAGGAAAAAGGAAGGCACAGATTTTGAACCAGGTGCAGAAAAAATTAGCGCAATGGTCTAGAGCAGTGGATGAGTAAGGCATGATACGGTAATACCCTGTTCTACGTAATTGCACTCGGCGAGCACGGGTGTTTCTACGTCGCATCGATAAAAGGGGAGAAAGTGCATTTCTTGTGTTCTGCGGTTCCTTTTGATCGTTTCGCCTCTGAAAACAGCATCCTCTGAAACCTTCGAAAGAAAATAGATGAATAGTCTAAAGGTAGCTGCATGACTACAGAACCGGTCTTTTTGAACTGGTACAGTCATAGTTTCCTCAAGTCTCCAGTAAGATCTTCAGCTATTTCAAAGCGTCGCTCCGGTCTGTCCTCCTTCCTTGTGGAGTCGAACGTAAGACAAAGAAATCAAAGATGTTGGGAATGGTGGAAACGGAGCTTTGGCTGTTCCCGTTGTCTTAGCGGCTCAGGATACGTGTCAACCGCGAATCCTCCCTCCTCATTCCTTTCTTCTCCCTTCTTCCTTCTTTTCCTTCCTTTTTTCTCCCTTCTTCCTTCCTTATTATCCTCCCTTTTTACTCTCGGCCGGAAGATGCGGCGAAAAAAATATAATAACTGTGGACCCTTGCAGCGACTTGTTCACTCTCACAAAAACATCCAGTTGATGGGAGCCCTGAGACGGTTGTTTTAGCGAACCCAGCTTTGCACTGGCTCCCTTTCGAAAACATTAGCCGTGAAATGTGATGGTAGTGTCTCAGGCTGTGTCACAATAAACACTTTGCTGAGGAGGGTCGTGGTGACGTAACGATCGATTAAGCCTGGGAAAGAGTATGAGGTGGCAGGTTCGACCCCCCTGTAGGGTCAAGATTTGCCCATAAGCTCAGCAACTCTGCGACCAATTTTTCGGAGGTGTTAGGGTGTCGAATAACAACCAATATTTTCACACGCTCTCGCTTGCTCCCTTCAATCAATTGCTTGGGACGCTAACCATAACCCAGCCTTCTTAGATAAGCCTCCATAGGCGACAAGCGTATATCAGCACGATTCTGCCTTCATCCTCCGCTCTCAGGCGGGGTCTCTCATTTCATGAAAGCAGCTCTTCCAAATTATTGGATGCATAAGGATTAGAGGCTAGTGCTCTAAAAAAAAGAAAACGATGCGATGTTTTCTTTTTTTCCTGGGTCAAAAAAAAAAGATAAGCTTATCGAACGGCGAAACACGTAAAGTATTCAGTTCTTCAACACTGGCTCATTGGATTATGGGGGTCACTTTCCTTATCCCAGGTGGTCAAAGGTCAGCTGTTTGCCAACAGAGTGGTCTAAGTGAATTCTAGAGCTGACATAAACCTTGCCATGGTATATGCGTAGTGCAGTTCGCTGTGAATTCCGAGTCAGGCATCAACACTACATAATTTTGAGAAGAAGGCAGGTGCATGGCGCACCTCTGAGGGACTGATTGTGGGTTGCGATTGCACTTCCCTGAAATCTGCGTTGGATATAGCAGAAACTGAAAGTTTGAATTGTACGGACATGAATGCATTGCTGTAAAGCGGAAACTTTCTGATTAAGAAAAAGCGCTATACGAAACAGCTGAGATGTTACTTGTACTGTTACTTTATTCCTGAACGTATTTAGCTGAAGATTCGGAATTCGCGCTCATATTTGTAATTTTTCAATGCTGTAATATGACCCTCTGGAATTTGAGTTTTTTATGAAGAGCGTTATTTGATGCATAGTTATGGTCGAGATGTGGAAATGTGGACCTGGGGTTGTGCATAGACAAGAATTCCATGGAGCTCTTGAAACTAGTCCTCCATTCCTCCATCTCCTATGGCACCTTGGGACGGTTGTAGATACTTCACCACTTCTGCACCTGAAGGTTGTTACGTGGGACATCCCCCACCATATGGAAAAGGAGATTCGCTTCGGAGCGTAAACCTGACGTAAAGAGCACACTTGACTTGAACAAAGCCCCGCCCACACTGGGCGGGGCATGTGCTGAAAGTTTTCGGTGCCCAGACCAAAAAATTAATAATTCCGCGTTCCAGAGAGCCCAAGGTATCGGAGAAAAAGGGGAGCTGCGGGTAGCAGGGTGGTTGGCGGACTATTTGAGGGAGACACATGTGGAATGGGTAGGGCGTACTTGTGATTCGCGGTGTTCCCCACGAAAATCGGTAACTCGGTTCTCGAGATAGTTTGGAGATCTCAGAAAGTGGGGAAGAAAAATACCTGGCGCAAGTTGGGCATATTTGTGAAGAGCACACAGGGGGCGGAGGCTTGCCTGCGCTGCGTGAGATACTCCTCCCCAAAAATGTAGCTCATTTTGCAAAGCAACTGCCGAGAAGGGGAAATGTGAGTTAAGGAGGCAAGCGGTTGAGAAATTTGTGCTTACAACCGCCATGCTGGTGGGTGCGGAGGCGTGCCCGAGGCGGTGAGGCTAAGCAGCGAAGCTTTGCTTATGTCATTAAAGCGCTAACTTTTTTAATTGTCGTCTCCAAAGGCCTGAAATAAAAATTCAGAGACGATCCGCACCAAACCACACAAGTGTTGGCTGTGGAACTTCGGCTGCACCCAAGTCATCATTGAAAAGCATTTTCACGCGATTGATGAGGCCATTTGTGAGAAATGGGCTTCGCATCAGCTGAGCGATGAAAAAAAAAACTGGTTCTGCTCTATAACAGTTCCTCGAATGCATAGTAAAGTCTGGGGAGGGGCGGATTTTTTTAGGCAAAACGATGAGAAAAGGCAGGGACTGGTCGCAGGCTGACAAACAAGACCGCCTACGAAAATTGGATAGTGACAAAGCCGAAATTTCAACCGAACAAATACTTTAAGATGAAATGCTTCTGTTTTGATAAAACATTGAAGAAGAGCAGAAAACGGAAAAGAAGCAAAAAGGTCTACCACTTCGGTTGTTTGTTACCAACTTTTTGAAAGTGCGAAAGCTTGGCGTATGTTTTCTCGAGTGGTTTGCACTTTCTTACTCTCCTGTCGATCTTTCATTTCAGCTTTGTTATATTAAGTGGTGTTTTCTTGAATAATGCCAGACAGCTGCGCTTGCTGATATGATGGACAGACTGCCAGTAGTAGTTCTACGTGTCTGCGAAATCGCAGGCATTTATAATTAATAGGTTCCATCCTGAGCTCGGGAAAAAAAATTTTAATTTTGTGTTTTGGCGAATTTTAGAGGGAAGTCTTACAAGCACTGGTCGTCTATAATTTTTGGTTTTTTGTTTTGTTTCTGTTTTGACTGTTTCCAATGAATTTCGCATTGTTATTTCTGTGTAAAAAATATAGAATGGGTTGAATAGTAGCGTCATTCATGGGGAGACATTATTGGTTGCCAACGTATTGGGTTGGCACATAAGTACTTTCGTTTTTTTTTTTCAACCGAACCGAATTTCGTTCCAAAGATGAAATGTTTTGCTAGCAAGCTTGATATCATCTGATAGGAAACTTCACGTAGTTTTAGAATATCAAAACGGCTTTGGTTGAGGGAATAATTTTTGTGGATTTTTTAGTCGTTGAAGTTGAAAGCGAAGTCGGCGAAAATTAGCACCTTCGACAACTGCCTCTATTTACGTATAGTCGAAGTGCTAAAATCGCTTAAGCTGCTCCATACATTTGGAAAAGGTCGAGCTAGAAGTTCCAGCAAGGGAATCTCACTAGGACGCTTTGGAACGAATTTCAAGAATTTTGAAGTTACCAACCTTCACCTCGCCGATATTGGGCAGCTCACGTCTGTTCCACCTGAAATTTTATGCTAATATTTGAATGTTTCGCTGATATGTTTTGCATGTTCTGATAGCAAATTTCGTGCTCTATAAACTGGAAATCTGTTCTTTAGAGGTGTTTGCTTTCTGTTAAGTTCAGGTTATCATTACGGAACGCGAAGTCGTTGAGAACTAGCGTTCCCGTTCTCCACGAATTTTATGCTAACATTTGAATGTTTCGCTAATGTGTTCTATATGTTCTGATAGCCAATTTCGTGCTCTATAAACACTTGTGTCTGCGTTGCAGTTATTTTGAAAATCCCTTTTATAAACCTTGTTTTTCAGGTGGATAATATGGAATGTCAGGTCGATAAGCATCAGCACTTCAGACAATCTCCTCCTTTTCCATGTCAAAGAGGTATAGTACCATCCTCCGAAGGCGTCTGAACCAATTTTGGGGCTTTCTTGTTTTTTCTGAGAGAGGCAT